GAGTGAAGAGATGAGTAGAAACTTCCACCAAAGATCACCAACAAATGACCATAAGGCATATGAAAAAAAAATAAAAGCTCTGCATTACTAGTCATCAGGAAAAGCAAATCAAAACAATGAGTTATCATAAGAGAAAGAACACATGGAGGGTGCGGGATCCCGGAGGAAAAAAAAAAAGAAAAAACAGGTTCCAAAAAGAGCCGAGTTCACCCGCAAGTTCCAGATGGAGTAGGTGCCGCATCCCGCCTCCCCCAGATGGAACCCCGGTGACCAGAAGCCTCTACAAACACAGCTCGAGTATGCGGGAACGAGGACCTTTTCTCAAAACCGCGCGGCCGCTTACGCGGCCGCGCGACATCTCTCTATATACAAGGTGATCAATGAGAAGTAAACCACCCAATCTTTCTCCCTGAAAGTCAGAGTTAAGTTTGGAGCACGGCCACAGCCCCAGAAACACAAGGACTTAATGCAGAACCCAGCAGCTTAGAGCAGAAAAGTGAAAGGACTATGCGTTAATCCAGGCCATCAAGTCTGCCGGAGGGGAAAGGGTGTTGCCCCATTCGCCCTCTCTTCTCTGGAAAGAAGGATGGCGGCCACATGGGAGCCTTGTGGACAGCAGGTATGAGCCGGGGGTGTGGGGGCGACTAAAACCTCATGGGAAGGGGGGCGTTCCGGTCCGTCCTTCACGCCCTACCGAGGTCACCAGTCACCCCCCACGAGCGGCTCTCCAGCACGGCCACAGCCCCAGAAGCACAAGGACTTAATGCAGAACCCAGCAGCTTGGAGCAGAAAAGTGAAAGGACTATGCGTTAATCCAGGCCATCATGTCTGCCCGGAGGGGAAAGGGTGTTGCTCCCTTCCACCCTCCTCCCTCTGGAAAGAAAGATGGCGGCCACATGGGAGCCTTGTGGACAGCAGGTATGAGCCGGGGGTGTGGGGGCGACTAAAACCTCATGGGAAGGGGGGCGTTTCACTCCGCCCTTCACGCCCTACCGAGGCCACCAGTTGCCCCCCACGAGCGGCTCTCCAGCACGGCCACGACTCCAGAACACAGAAACCAATTTCTTAACTATCTGACTTTCAGTAGAAATACTTCCAGGGTCAATAGGTAAAATAGCAGAAATCCAAAACCAACATTTAATTCTTGAACCCAGCTGTAGAAAGCAAATCACTTCACAATGCTTTTTCAGCATGTCTGATTTGGGGGGGGGGGGGTAAACTCTAAATAATAGTGGTGAATCTTTTATTGAAACAATCTAATCAAAGCGGATAGAGTGTTAACTAGAATTCATCTGCCTCACAGGGACGGGGAGGGGTGGGGGGGTGGGGTGTTATTGGGGTTCTTCATGGGAAAAAATAAGTATTGGTAAAGGGAAATGTGTTTGATATTTGCATGACTGAGACATAAACCTGAAAGCTTTGTAACCTTTCCCACAGTGATTCAATAAATAAATAAAAAAAAATAATAATAATAAAAAAAAAAAAAACAATGAGTTATCACCTCACACCAGAGAGACTGGCAGAAAGAACAGAAACAACCATTGCTGACATGATGTGTGGAAAAGGACCTTCAGTCACTGCTCGTGAGAATGTAGACTGGGCCAACCCTTTTGAAAAAACAATATAGACACATTTCAAAAAACTAGGAATTTAGTTTTCATATGACCCAGCAATTCCACTTTTTGGCCTATACCCCAAGGGCTGAAAAACACTATTTAGAAAAAAACATTTGCATTGCTATATTCATTGTAGCCCAATTCACAACAGCCAAAATCTGGAAATACACCAAATGTCCAGAAACAGATGACTGGATAAAGCACATGTATACAATGGTACATATATACAATGGAATACTACTAAGCTGTAACAAAAAATCCGATTACACAATTTGCTGCTACGTGGTTGGAGCTGGAGGATCATGGCGAGTGAAGTTAGTCAGAAGGAGAGGGACTTAAACAGAATGATCTCTTGCATATGCAATATATAAAGAAACATAGGAGGGGAATAACAAATACGAAAGGCAACAGAAACTGAGAACTGGTCTTCAACAGGATGCAGACCACTAGGGAGGGAAAGCAGGGATAGGATAGGGAAGCAGATACTGAAACGAAGGCCAAGGACATTGGTCCCTCTGGGAGAGTTTCAAACAGAAATGTGTCAGACATGAAACCCTATCAGTAACAGTATTATAAACCACAGTTCACAGAATTAAAACAAAAATAAAAAGTGCCTGTCACGGAAACAGAGCAGGGACACTGATGGAAGGAAGTTGACACTGGTGATGGTATTGATGTTGGAACACTGTATGCCTGAAACACAACTAAGAATAACATTGTAAATCATGACCTTGGGGGGGAAATATATATATATGTAAATAAAAGGTAAAGGTAAAGGCCCTCCCGTTGATCGTCGATTTGCTCGAGCGGGCCCAGTAACGTCTCCATTGGAGACTTCGTTGTTACTGTGTCTGGCATATCGAATACTCTCCGTAGCTTGCCGGGCTCTCCGAGTATATATGTAAATATATATATATATATATATTAAACCTAGGCACCAGACAGATGGCTCAAAGGACTGGAGCTCGCTTGCACGCGGGACGTTCAGATTCAGTCACCAGCACCACATGTTCCTCCAGGCACCACCAAGAGCAACCCCAAGAACCAAGTCAGGAGTCATCCCTAAGCACCAGGGATACAGTCCAGAAACAAAAGCAAAGGAGCAAAAATTATAATCGATGATCCCATATAATTTTCACACGTACCTAAAACAACTGCTTCCAGACAGAGTATGAGCTTTCTCCCACTTAGCATATTTCCAAATCCTGAAATAAGTTTCAATATGCCTACTATATAGCTAAGAAAACTAAAAGACCCTAAAAGAAAAATGCCAAAGATCTACGTCAGTCATATAATTTTTTAAAGTAGGACATCGCACTAATGTTTTGTACTATTGAAAAGTAGTGAATATCTTCAAGTCCATGCAGATTTCAAACATAAATGTATTTTTGAAAAAGAAAAAAATCAAATGCATACCTGTTTTTTCCTTGAATTCGCTTTGGGAAAGAGGCCTGCTGACAACACAGATGTAAATGGAGAACAGCATAGCTCAGGAAAGGGGTTTGGAATAGATGGCATTTCCAGAACATCCAGATCTTTCTTTTTTCTCCTACAACAAGAGAACATAGGATATAATTTACATAAATCATAATGTAAAATACAATTGCTCTCAGGATTTAAAAACTAAGACCAATATACACTACTCTGGATAACACTAATACTATAAAAAGTTTACAGAAAAGATCTGCCATATATTTCTGTAAGTTGAAATAAAATTTGAATAAAAACCAACCTCTGATAATATTCATAGTAATATTCAGGGGGATACGGTAGAAATATATTTTACAAGGATGCAAATCTCATTTATAGCACTTTTTATAATTTTCCAAAAGCTGAAATACAAACTATATTTTCTTAATGTACAAATCATTCTGAGGAGTAATAGTGTTAGGTATCCATTAAATCAACAGTCTACAAACATTTAGTAAAATCATTCCTATGCTATTTTACTAATTACTTTTGGAAGTTATGGTTTATTAATTATAGCTGTGGTTCATCTCACTTCAAATTTCATTCACAATGTTGCCCACACACACAGTCTGTTGATTTTGCAAGCGCTTATAGATACTAAACCTCAAGGCATTGTTTCTGAGGAGGTAACTCAATAGAACTTGCTTGCTCGTGTAAATGTACTCTAGTGCAGAGTAATTTTAACCTCAGTGAAGTTGAAGCACTTTGGAAATGTAAGAGGGGGAGAAGTACCATTTAAATGTGTGAATATAAAGGATTATAGATTTTTGTATTGCTGCAGCCTTTTCCTTGCCTAAAATATGTGCAAAACTGTGAACTCTAAAGGCACTTAATGCTGAATGTTACAGAGATTGGGAAACCTTTTAAAGCCTCTATTCTTTCCTGCTGAACAGGAGACTGCTCAAATGTCAATCCCGCTTTGCTTCTCCTGGGTCTCTGTAAGACTCTGTGGGAGGTGAAGTCACTTAAGCTGCAATTTTTTTTAAGATATAAAATGGGGGGAAAAAAGTATTTATTTATTTATTTATTTATTTGGAAGATGGAGCCATGAAGAAGGCAGAAAAAAAGGGAGTGGGGGGGGGGTCAAGCTTAAAACTTTGGCCTTATAGTTAACACCGATCTGCCTAGGAGAGGGGGGGGAGGGGGGGGAGAGAGAGACAGAGACAGAGAGACAGAGACAGAGAGAGACAGACAGAGAGAGATCCAGAAAGAGAGACAGAGAGAGACAGATAAGGAGAAGACAGAGAAGAGAGAGAGAAGACTGAAGGAAGATAGGTGACAGAGGGAGAGAGAGAGAGGAGAGAGAGGAGAGAAAGAGGAGAGAGGGGAGAGAGAAACGGAGAGAAAAGACAGAAGACGGAGAAGCGAGGAGACAGGAGAGGAAAGATTACAGGCAGAGAGGTGGGGGGAGAGAGCGAGAGAAAGAGAGGGGGGGGGGAAGAGACAGGGACAGAGAGAGACACAGAGACAGACAGAGAAGAGAGGAAGAGAGGAGACAGGAGAGAGGAAAGACAGGGAGAGGAGAGAGAACGAAAGAGAGAGACAGGAGAGGGAGAGAGACAGAAAGAGAGACAGGAGAGAGGAGAGGGGGAGAAAGAGACAGAGAGGAGAGACAGGAGAGACGGGGGGGGGGGGAGAAAGAGACAGAGAGCGGAGAGACAGGAGAGACAGGAGAGAGAGGGGGAGGGAGAGAGAGAGAGAGAGAGAGAGAGAGAGAGAGAGACAGGAGAGAGACAGGAGAGAGAGAGAGAGAGAGAGAGAGAGAGAGAGAGAGAGAGAGAGAGAGAGAGAGAGAGAGAGAGAGAGAGAGAGAGAGGAGAGACCCGGCGCTCTCAATGAAACCGCGATGCTATTTATAAGGAGGCGCCGGGAGATCGCAATGTCCTACGGCTCGGCTCGGGGGCAGGAGCCAGCTCCAAGGGGCTGGTCTGCGGAGACTTTCACAAACTTGGCCCCGCGCTGGGCACATGGCTCACCCCCGAGGACCGCCCCCTGCGCCCCGAGGCGCCGGGCCCGCCCGGACACTCCCGCGCCCTCGGGGGCTGCCTACCTGTCGGCCGCCGCGCAGCCGCGGGTCCCGTCCGGCGCGGGCGGCCCGGGGGCCGGCGCGGGGGTCGCGGGCGTCGCCCCTCCCCTGGGCAGCGCCGCACACCTGGGCGGCCAGCGGCGAGCGGCGGGCGGCCGCCCGGCCCGCGGCGCTCTGCCCATCCCGCAGGGAAGTGGTCATCGTGGCCGGCGTGGGCAGCCGGGCGGCATGGGCGAGCCGGCGGCGGGCGACGCGGCGCGGGCGCGGCAGGTGCGGTGGCCTCGCGGCCGGCGCTGGCGGCCCGGGCAGCCGAGACGCGCGGCCGAGAGCTGCCGGCGAGGCGGCGGGGGAGGGGAGGGGGCGGAGGAGGAGGGTGGGGAGAGGGGAGGAGCGGCCGGTGGGTGGGGGCCGCGGGGCGCGGCGCGGAGGGGGCGGGGAGGGCGCCGGGCCTCGACAGCGCGGCCGCGGGGGTCGCGCCGCCCGCGCCGGGCCCGAGGGTGGGGGCGGGGAGGGGGGGCGCGGGGGAGCCGCCGCCCCCTCAGGTGGGCGCCGGGGCGCGAGGCCGAGCCCGGGGTCGGGGCGGGCGGCGCGCCGCTGCCCGCGGGGACCCCGCAGAGCGGCCCGACAGCCGGCGGGGCCGGGGACCGCTGACCCCCGGACCCTTTCATTCCCCCTGCGGGCGATCTGAGATCACCTCAGCTGTCGCTGGGCCGCCATGACAGGCCCCACGGTGCCAGGAGGCCAGGGGGCAGGGGCCTGGCTGGCCCCGTCTTCCCCCCCACACCACATGCCTCATCTCCGGACTCTGCCGCCTGGGAGCAGGATTAGTGCGGGGGGGGGGGAAGGAGGGGGGAGGCAATCCGTGCAGAGAACTACTGAGGTGTCTGATCATTTTTTAAGTAAGGCAAGAGTAAACCTGGACTCCTAAGAAATGGTTTTCCTCTGGTATGACAGCGTTTCAGAGACTCCTCGCGCGCCTTCTGTTCCACTCTCACCACTGTCTCTCGAATTAGATGTTGACCCCATTTTACAGATAAGGCAGTTGGGGCCCTAGGTCATCAAGTAGTACCTTGCGCAACCTCGCACCAGCGACGGGTTGCAGTCAAGCTTGCAGCCCAGAAGATTCTCTCTCCAAGCCCTCTGGACTAGCAGAAGCAGGGATTCCATTCAGAGCACGCTCGGGGAGACAGCAGCTCTACTTTGAAATTCTGCGTGATACTGTGTCAGCTTTTCCTGTGAGTGCCCCCCATCCCACTGCGCAGTTGAGAATTTCCAAATGTTTTACACACTCTTTGTTCTTTGACCAAATTAGGTAACATCATCTGTCCCTGGCATCTGTTACACCAGGTTTTCTTAACCTCCACAACCTCTGCCCAGGGAAAGGCAAACACTGCCTCCAGAAGAAAGAGGTACCCTCACTCTTTCATTGCCTTGTTTTTCCAACTCCTCACCCCCGCCCCCCCCCCCCCCACGCGCACACACGTGGATGCACACCAACACTCTATGACACCTCTGACAAACCCTGATGGGTCGCTGACTTACAGCCTGCGAGGAATCCTGGAATTCTCCGCTGACGCAGAAAATTTTTGATTTGCCACTTTCTTTGTTTTACCTAATTCAAAGTTAAAACTCAATAAGGAGTAGAACTGGCCTACTTGTGATGGCTGTGGACTCCAGGAGGCTTAATACAGTGCAGACACAAGACAAAATGGTAGTTTTCCCGAAGGATATGATTAATAATGTTAATTATGGTATCACTCACATGTACTGGTGGTTTATGCTGGGCAGTGCCTAACACATGTTCATTACTCTGAATTGGAGTCTAGATTCTAGCTGGGGGTTGTAGGCGGGTTTAATATAAAAATATGCAGATATAATGAGGTCATTGCAGAAAAGTGGAAAAGAAGAATGTACGTGCAAATCGAAATATAGCCATGAAGAAAATTTCTTCGTCATCATCATCATCATTCTTATTTCATCCCAGCGATTTGCAGGAAGTAATTTATCCTCTAAAAAATGATATCAGGTCAGAGACATAGTACAGAACTTAATGGGCTTGTCTTGCATGCAGCTGACTCCAGTTCGATCTCTGACACCATATATGGTTCCCTGAGTACTACTAGGAGTGATCTCTGAACATAGATCCAGAGTAAGCCCTAAGCATAGACACACAAAATTTTAATTATGGGTAGTCAGTAACAGATTTCCCCCCTCCTTACTCCAAAAATTCTCATTCTTAAGTCTCCCTCTGTAGGAGATTGCCCCCCTAACAAAAACCCAACCCCTCAGTCAGATAGTCCCCTGAGCAAAAGGTCTTACAATATAGACTTGGTCTTAGAATATGAGCAGGCAGCAAAAATGTGCACAGGAGAGAACAGAATTAAATAGTCTATGGTCTTCTAGATGTAGATGGCAACATAGTAAAAATAGAATAGGAAACTGTCACAACTGTATGCTTTAAGGTTCCTACTGAATAGCCATGTGAAATATACCAGTACTCTTAATGAGCCCAATAAATTTAAATTTGTTGTTGTTTGTGTGGGGGCCACACCTGCCAATGCTCTACTCTCAATTATTACTTCCGGCAGTGTTTGGGGAAACATGAGATGCCAGGGATTGATCTGGGTTGGCGGTAACCAAAGCAAGCACCTTACCTGCTGCACTGTCTCTCTAGTACCTGACCCACTGAATTTTGATATGCTTACTAACTGTTCATAATGTCTCTGCAACTTAACTTTTGGCTGCCCAGATGACCCCAAAGATTGGGCAGTCCATGCATTTTTTTTGTCTCTTTACGTGTTTTTCTTATTCTCTGTGACTGAGCCTCTTTGGACAGTAGGAAGGTGCCAATCCTATTGGCTTTAGACAGTGCTCTCTCCCTCTCTCTCTCTCTTTATCTTTTTCCCTCTCTCTCTCTTTCTCCCTCTCTCTTTCTCCCAAACATACACACACATGACTTTTTTATTGCAAAAAGGATTGATGGATTCTGCATATCCTTAGGATAACAGAAATACATATATATATACATATAATACATATGTATATATACATATGTGTGTATATATATATTCACAAAGCATATCATTCTCCATCTTCCAGCATAAAGGTTTATCCTCCGTAAATAATAATCATTGGTTGGAATGAGATATCAATTGTCTTCACTCTCTGGACATTTTCTCATTTAATGAAGATCCAGGAAATATACATTTATAGGCTTTATGCTATTCTGTTAATCCCCATGAGTGTTTTTTTTAAGTAATACCTCCAGCCCTCAGGGGCAAAAATAGAAAAGAGCAAGTCTCCAAGGAATAAGAACCTAAATAGTTTTTTAGATTGGCATTAAATATTGAATTTACTCTCAGACACCTTGAAGATATGTACCAAGAATTACTAGAATTAGCTCACTCACATTTTTTTAGACAAGACCAGAGTTGGGTTTTGTATCCCAGAGGTTTACAAGGAATGGTGATAAAGAACTCTAATATAAAAGGTTTACAATACTATCAACCCACTAAAGCTGAAAAGAATGCAATGCAAAAGGGTTGTCTTCATGCCCCCAGAGTTGACTTCTGAAACAGGAAAGCAGTTATCTTGCTACTGAAGATCTGGGCCTCCCCTACTTGGCTATTTTCCTACTTGAAATGAACCTTGTAGATTGCAGAGGAAGCAAATTGATTCCTGGTCCTTCCTCCAACAGTATGTCTTTTTGACACATTTTACCTTCATTTCCTATTTACACTGAAGGATCTCAAGAGTTTTATCCTCAAGGAAATTGTGCCTTCCTTTCTTTCTTCTCCTTTTCTTGTCAACTCAAATGTTTCAACTCTTCATTTGGGAAAGATCCAAACTTACAGAAAAAGTTCACAAGCGAATTCCTTTTTGACTTATTACAAACAAATCCTGACTGAAGAATATGAAAAAGAGTACTGTTGGCTCTCCAAAACACGGATTTTCACAATAATCAACTCCTCTGTATTTATAGATAAGCCATAAGTATTTATTTATTCCTTTTGTATGTGTGTGTGTGTGAAGCAAAACAATTTTTATTGAAACTAATTCAGAAAACCATGAGGGGAGAAAGTGAGAGCAAGAAGTTTAAGTTCAAGAGAGAATACTGGTTTCTCTAAAGTGGAAATAGGCAAGCTAAGAAACATGGAGATGATAAGTGTTCAAGAGAGAACACAGGCTTGAAGAGCAAGCCAATAAGTATTCTTTCTTAAGCATCATTGAGTAGATTATTTGGATTTAATCTTTATATAAGTAGAATCCTACTCTGTCATGCTTTTGTATTCAAGTTGGCTCCCTTAATAAATTATTTACGATAATTTTCCTTGCTTTTGCAAATTGCTGCAATTTTTTATTTTATTATTTGTAAACTTAACAACTGATTTATCCTTTTTACTACTGATAAACATCTGTGATGTTTCCAGGCTTTTACTGTCACTAATTCTGCTGAAATTCATGTTTTGTGCACATCTATTGAGCATAAGCACATGCATTCCTGATCACATGTGTATGTGCAGGAGTTGCAATGTAAGCTCATTGTATCTGTGTATGTTTGGCTTACGAGATACTGCCAGTTGTCCAGTGTACTTGTACCAGTTTTCACCACCAGCAGCAATGCCAAAGTTTCCCTATTCCCCTATTCTCATAAACTTGACAAGTTGACTATTGGTTTGATTGTCACAATAGACTATTTGTTGAGTAACTAAATACTTCACAATTATGGAAATTTTTACATTGTTATAATCTTCTTTTGACAAATACCCCTTTAAGTTTTCTGGCCATTTAAATGATGTTTTGTCTGTCTTTTATTCTTTCATAGGAGTTCTTTTATTGTTATTGCTTTGAGACCATATCTAGCAATGTTCAGGGATTATTCTTGGCTCTACATTCAGAGATTATTTCTGCCATAGCTGGTAGTGCAGGGGATTGAACCTGGGTCGGCCACATGCAGGTAAGCACCTCTACAGAGTTCTTTTGTAAATTAATTCTAACTTTTTTGATAGCATGTTTTAAAATTTCTCATCCTATTCTATGTCTTAACATTAAAGCTCTCTTAATCGTATCTTTTGATAAGGAGCTGTTCTTAAATTTAATATAGTCAAATTGATGTTTTATGATTATATTTTTATATACTGCTTAGAGTATTTCTCTGTATATCACAGAAATTTATTACTTAACTTTCACTGTTAAATCTGTGCTCTACGTAAGACTGATTTTTTTTTTGTTTTTGATTGAACTAGAACTGACACACATTATTTTAATTTCAGGTATATGACATAGACTTGACATTTTACTTATTA